ATATTATAATATAATTAATAAATAAATTTAACGTGTTCTTACAAAAAATTTGGGAAATAGTTGAAATATAAAATCTGGTGGAATGGTGGTTGATAAAATATGATGTAGATAGATATTTTTTTTAAAATAATATTTAAATTTAAAATAATATTTAAATTTAAAATAATATTTAAATTTAATTTTCAAAATTTTTATTTTATTTATTGCTTTTTAAGTAAAAAAATAATTTTTAACACAATTTAAGGTAAGGATCTTAAATGAGAAAATTGACAAATTTAGGATCGAAACCAGGATCTGCGATCTTTTGATTCGATCCTTTAACAACTCTGATCAAATGCATATTATCTAATTAACAATTAATGAATGATATAAAATAAGTAAGCATAAAATTACATCTTTTGCCCAAATCTGAGATACAGGATCAACTTCTAAAAAGTTCAAGGGGAGACCGGGGATAGTGTTATCCTGGGTAGGTAATTTTTTCTCAAATAATTTTAAAACTAATAAACTTTGAGAGATTTAAAATTTAAACCAAATATATACTTTAATAAGATGCTTAATTGGGTTTAAAATTGTTTTGCAGAAAATTGTTTAACATCATAGATATTTAAAAAACAAAGACTATTTTTAGGATTATTCTCTAAACAAGTAATTGAATTCTTTATTATTTTATATAAATTAAATGAATGTAATAACATTAATACAAATTTTTATGAGACCTTACTATATATATTTATAGAATTTTATAATTTTTGTGGACTTCTTATAATTTATTAGATGAAAATTTTATTTATATAACTTTTACACGGAAAAAAATAACTAAAAAACATATAATAATATTTCTTTTTTAATTAACAATTTTCGAAGCGTAAAAAACATTATTATTTTTTTTTAAAAATAAAATACAAAAATATCTTCGACCTCATTTCTTTTTCATATAAAAATATAATATATCGTTGACATCATTTCTTTTTCATATAAAAATTCAATATATCTTTTACATCATTTCAAAATAATACAACCTTAACAAAAATCCTGAACAAAATTATATATATATATATATATATATATTTTTATATCACTATGCAAAAAAAATTAATCAGCGCATAAGCATTCAATAAATGATTCCCATAATTTTTTGTTTAAACAATATTTTTATGTCTGTATTTCTTCTTTATCACTTCATACACACAATCAGATCTTGATAATCTTCCCAGTATTGTTTTTAGAAGGTCGATTCTAACGTTGCCATCCTCCTTTCTTTTGGGCGATTTTCGTAGTATCCGTCATAACTTTTTGTCCTCCTAAAATAGTGTCGTTCCTCTTTTACGTTGGACATACGATGTACGTGGGTAGTGGTTGCTTCTTGATTACATGATTATTTACACCATTGAAACCATTGAAATCTACATCTTTATTAACCAGGAACTATCCTTACATATTTTCTTTTTTTTTACAATTTCCTCTTTCAACCATTTTTAAGCACTCTCTTCCGTAATTGATCCCTGTGCCGGACACCTTCACTATTATCATTAAATTTTACCCTATTTAATTTGTTTCCCAAATTTTCTATTACTACACCTTTCTCCCATTTTTTAGTACTTCCATATAATCTAATCCATACTAATAGTCCTACAGTATATTCCAACTCCCTTCTATCAATATCCTCCACAATTACCTCAGCTTGGATATTAACATATCCAAAAACATTCTTACCTTCCGGCCTATCATTTTTTCTGCCGGAGACAAATTATCATTACCCATCGCATTATTATAATACAAATACTTCATCCACATTTCTCCTTTTCCACTTTTGGTTTTCTTCAACCATCCTTTAGCCGTCGCTACCATCCGTTCCGCCTGTCCATTGGAACTGGGATGATACGGTGGCGTTAACACATGATATACACCCCTTTTTTCACAGAATCTCTTGAATTCTTCCCCGATAAAAGCTGGTCCACCATCCGATACTACAGTTTTCGGAATACCAAACTTCGACCATACTTTTTTAAAATGTTTAATCACAATATTCGCCGTTAACCCATGAATATCTTCAAATTCTATCCATTTGAAGAACGCATCTACACTTAATATATTCTTTTTACCTTCATATTCGAAAAAATCAACATGAACCCTCTCTCTGGTTCTACAACTTTTGGCCATGTACTATTTTTATCCCTACGGGGCATGTCAGACCATGCATTACAAATCTCACATTCTTTTCCCAATTTATCAATATCCTCGTTCATTTTCGGCCACCATACGTACTCTCTTCTCCATTGTTTCATGTGAGTAACTCCTTGATGACCCGCATGTATAACATTCAAAATTTTTACCCTCAATTTCCGGGGTATAACAGCTCGGGGTCCCCTCATAATACAATCGTCCACTATAGTTAATTCTGTTTCAATATTTTTGAAAACTTTATCATCATCTTTCCATGATCTTTTTTCCATTAGACATAATTTAACTACCGCTAATTCTCTATCTTTCTTGTAAACCTTTGTATATCTTCCCATGTCGTTGGGCTACCCTTTATACTTCTCATTATCGTACGTACAAGACAGTCTTTCCGATTATCAATTTTCAAAATCACCGATTCATCCAAACTTTTGCCAGCACCTAACCTTGACAAAATATCAGGTAACTGGTTCTCTTTTCCCCTTCGATATTTTAAATCCAAATCAAAACTTCCTACTAACAATAACCATCGCTGAAGTCGAGGCGATAACATCAACTCTTTGTTATCTTTCTTGAATAAGTGGATCAACGGCTTATGATCTGTAAAACAACAAACTTCCTACCTATAAGGTATTCACGACATTTCGTTAATCCAAAAATCACAGCTAAAGCCTCCTGTTCTATCATTCCATCTATCAAATGCAACATAGCCCCACCTACTCCTCTATTACATGCATCTACAGCCAAGACTACTTCCAGATCACTATTAAAACATACTAGAATGGGCTCTTTCCCAATTCTCTCCTTTAACGTTCTGAACGCAATCTCTTGTTATTCTTTCCATTCAAAATGTACCCCTTTCCTTAATAATTCATATAAAGGCGCAGCTATTTCCGCAAAACTCGATATAAACCGATGGTAATAATTTACCATTCCCATAAACGACTTGGACCTCTACTTTACTGGTCGGCCTATTCAAATTCGCAATACTCAACAAATTCTTATTTAACGGTTTTACCTCCATTCCATTAATCCTATGACCCAAATACGTCACTTCAGTTACTCCCAACACACTCTTTTCAGGACTCGCCTTTAATCCTTTATTTCGAATTCTAATAAATACTTCTTCTAGCCTATCATCATGTTGTTTCATCGTTATTCCTACAACCAAAACATCATCCCTATAATAAAAAACACCCTCTAAACCTTGGAAAACAGCAGCCATTGTCCGCCGAAAAATAGGGGCTGATACACTTAACCCAAATGGTAATCGACAAAATGTAAACAAGCCCTTGAATGTCGTAATCGTCAACAACTTCCTAGTCGTTTTCGCCATCGGTAATTGCAAATATGCACACGAAAAATCAATCTTGGAAAAATATTTTCCCCCTTTCAAACTGGCCAAGATTTCTTCTATTCGCGGTAACGGATATTTCACCTCTACCACCCAAGGATTCAAAGTCACCCTAAAATCTGCACATAACCTCAATTTTCCATTGGCCTTTCTAACAGGAACCAACGGAGTTGCCCATTCACTGTAACCAATAGGACAAATAATTCCATCTCTCACCCAGTTGTCCAACTCTTTTTCCATTTCCCCCCTCCATTCAAATGGAACTCTTCGCACCGGACAATACTGCGGTACAATCCTAATCTCTCCTCAAAAATTTCACTATAACCATTCATTAAAACTGCCACTGCAAGTTTCCAATTTTCCAAACTCGACAATTGTTCCTTTCCTTCCCCTCCATTAATCTCCTTTTCCTCTTTTTTTCTTACAAATTTCGCCTGAAAATTCTGTAACACTGGTATATCTTTCTTTTCATAATTTCAGTTCCTTATACATTTCATGACTAATAATTTTCTCCTCTATTTCTTCTGTTTTTGTAACTATTTTTATTTCATCATTATTTCGCTCATTAATACATTTTCTACAGGGTATTTCCTTTTTTACCTCTCTAGGATTGTCATTTTCCATAATATTAACACTTTGCAACAACTCAGTATATCTTACCTTTCTTTTTTAAACTGGAACTATCCGCGTTTGAGACATATTTTCTTTTTCAAACTCACTTTTCTGACTACCCATCACACCATTTCCAATGATTTCACTTTTTACATGACATAATTCTCGATTTTTTATTTCATCGTTCTAATCATTTCATCTCGTTTAATTTCATTTGAAAAGATACCCCAAAAATTATTTAATGGACCAATCTTAACAATCCATTCCCACCCCATAATCGTATCTACTTTTTTATCAACAATCCACAAATTTAAATATTTAACTATACCATTTATCACAAACGGTACTTCAATTTTTCCTAAAACCTTTATTTCCGATCCGTCAAACTGTTTAACTTTCATCTCTTCTTTAATTATATTCTTTCCCGGCCAATATTCACAAAAATTTTCATAACCTACGATCGATATTGCCGCACCTGTATCCAATAATATAGATATTTTTTTTACTTCCACAACTATTGCCACACGAGGACATTTATCCTTCTCACTTTTGTCCTCTAATTTTAAAATAGGGATTCTATAATCTTTTATAATTCCCCCATTTACCAAATTTACATTTTTTTTCTACTAAATCTTTCTTAACTTTACATCTCCATTCACACGAAATTTTATTTCATTCTTTAATGTAATACTCTCCATTTTATTACTTTCGCTATCATCTAGTCACCTCTCTCGACATTCTATAGCACTATGTCCTTCCTTTCTGCATTTAAAACATATAACTTCAACTTTATCTTCTTTCATCATATCATTATTTTGTAGCACTCTTACATTAGATGCCGGTGCTATGTATTTCACTGCCGGAAATGTTCTCCATTTATCGGTTCTCTTACATAACAATTCTCTTTAGCATGTCCCATTTTTCCACATCTTTCACATTGAAATGTTCTTTGATTATTTCCCATAATACGATACGTCGGAACATAACATTTTTCACTACTATGTCCAACTCCTCCACATCTATTACATTTAATCGGTTGCTTGTTAAACATTGCACCCTCAACACAATTTCTACTTATATGCCCAAATTCTCCACATGAATAACATTTTACATTTTGCATATTAATCTTCGGACGATTAAATCTATTTCGGAAAAAATTTTCTTTTCCCCAATTTTCCCTTTCATTTCTCTGCAAGTTCATTGACGTATTATACTCTTTAAAATGATCGTATTCCTTATCATTTCTTCGATCATCTCTTTTGGAATCCCTTTCATTATACCTTCTCTCACAATTTTCTCCATGACTACAATCATTTCGTTTATTATCTCTCATTCCACTTTCATCTCTATTTCTCTTTTATTATCAATATCTTTTCGTTCCCCTCCCGATCTAATAATATTGATACTTTTCCTCATTCCTTCCATCATATTTTCATTTAATATTTTCCATATTTCATCCTTTAAATTTAACATCTCTTTTTATTTTTTTCCGATGTATCATAATACCAATTATCCATAAACATATCACTACTACAGCTATAATACAATTATTTCTCTGTGGAACCATTTCCACATACTTTTGAGTTTTTATACTCCTTTTATAATTAAACATTTATTTTTTATCCACAAATTTATAAAAAATTTATTAAAACTTTTATTATAAATATTATAACATTACTAAAAGTTAGACAATATATTAAACCAAATATAATTAATAATATCAAAATTATATAAATGCACATCATTTTATATATAGGGTAAATTATTTAAAAAAAACAAACAATTGAAATAAAATAACAATATGTTTTTTTATTTTTGCACAACCCTCTAAAAATAAATGACAATCAAATATATAATATATAACAAAACAGATTTAAAAAATACATACGGTAATTTTCTTGCATTTACAATTTTTATATAATTTAATTTTTTTTATAAAATACATACGGTAATTTTTTTGCATTTACATTTTTTATATAACTTAATTTTTTTTTTATAAAATAAAGTTTAATATTTTTTTCAAATGTTTAATATACGACAAATTTTATCTAGTAATACAAATTCATTTACATTAAATCCTGATCCTGTTTTATCTAATTCAAATTCAATACCTAATATTACAAATAATTTCCATATGATCAATTCTTCCTCTGTAAGTGGTGATTCTATTACTGATCCAACATCGGCTATTCCAAGAAGAAAATATACTTTTGATTTTTCAAATTATTATAATAAAATGCATCAATTTTTGGAGATTGGTTATCGAGGACAACCAATGAATTAAGGTAAATTTATAAAAATATAATTTATATTGAAATATATTTTAAAGGAATTTAGAAAAAGGAGAATATATATATAAAGAAAAAACGAAAATTAAAATATCCAATTTTTAATGTATTTTTTAAATCTGTTATGTTATATATTTTATATTTGATTGTCATTTATTTTTTGAGGGTTGTGCAAAAATAAAAAAACATATTGTTATTTTATTTTAATTGTTTGTTTTTTTTTAAAATAATTTACCCTATATTCCAAAAATTTTTTACCTTTTTATTTTTAAGAATTTTTTATTTTCCACCGTGATTGTATTTTTTATTAGTATACTGAGTCCACTATTACCCAGATATCTTGTCCGTTGGTTGAATAAAAATTAAACGGCACCACTTTTGTGGACTTCTTATAATTTATTAGATGAAATTTTATTTATATAACTTAAAAACATTATTATTATTTTTTTTTAAATAAAATACAAAAATATCTTTGACCTCATTTCTTTTTCATATAAAAATATAATATATCGTTAACATCATTTCTTTTTCATATAAAAATTCAATATATCTTTATCATCATTTCAAAATATACAACAATAATGTTGCAATTTATTTATTAATTTTAAAAAGATGTTGTTATGTGCATTAATTTAGCATTAAATATTTTATATGATATATATTTAAATAATTTTAAAATGATGCTGTAATTGATTGATTAATTTTAAAATAGTGTTTAATATTAAATTATTAGGCATTAGAATCTTGTTTTTTGCATCAGAATTAGATTTAATTAATATATGACATAATATTAATTAGCAGGAGATTCCATATATTAATAATAAAATATTGAAACCTAGATTCAAAATAAATTTTTTGAGAATTGTTATGAGAGTAACTTAATATTAAATAATTTTTTACATTATGTTTATATTTAGGTTAAAGTGTTAGCATTTCAAATGGCCTATAAGCATAAAAATGAATTAATCTGGGAAATAACTCAAGCAGTTGGTAAAGACTGGTTTGATGCATGTATTAAAATAAATCCAGATTATCATTGAAAATACTAGAGGCTACAAGTCAGCCAAGGCCACCAATATCAATATGAAAATGGTTGACTTATTATTTTAAATTATTTGAGTTTTAAGTTATATTTATAACATGGATGAATTTAATATCAATTTGACAATAAATTTACAAAATTTTAGGATTAACACCGTTTAATATATTAATATATTTGCTGAATTTATTTTATGAAAAAATGTATAAAATATATAGAAAATGACGTGCTAATGGATGCCCCCCAAAAAGGATAAAATCTCCCCAGTATTTTTCATAACTCAAATATTTTCATTTTTTACAATTTTTTAAATAAATATAAGATTTTTTTTCTTAGATATTAATTTTAACCATAGATAAAATATATACAGCGTTTTAAATTTTAATAAGTTACTTCTTTTTTTATAATCCCTCAATTTATTATGTACAATATAATCCCGGTCTCCCCTAGGCATACTTTTTAATCCTAGTTGCAGTCCCGCACCATCTCTCTATTTTCCCTTATAATCATTTAATGATAAATGTTATCATTCTATATTTGATGTTATTTTGAATGTGTGGAAATTTATAATTTTTTCCTATATAAAAACTTTTTTTTAAATAAGTCAATAGAAGAATTTAGTTTATAGTTAGTTCAAATCTTTGTAATGCTACAATTTTATCCACTTTTTCCTCTGAAATTCTCAATTTCTTTACACCCACCCCAGGTTACGATTTACACCTGGTTTTATTAATTGGGGCAACATCTCATATTTGACCAATCATCCTACAAAAAAAACTGGGATGCTGTCCTTGCTGCCCAATCGATTGATTACCAATTCGAACAGTTAATTCCATATCAATTCCAATTGAATTTCTTCAATGTGATCATGCATTTCTAAGAGAGATATCTTCATGAATTCGCATTTTAAAAGGATGAGTAATGATATGATATAATCGTGTTTTAATCATGAAATTTGGGATATATCTTAGTATCAATCCTTTTTTTATAACTAAGATTTTAAAAATGTCCACCAATAATTATGCATTGAATTATATAACGATTAATAAGAATCAATTTATAAAAATTATTTATCTCATATTTTTAGTTATTTCGATAAGATAAGAATATACATATATACAAATCATTATACTCTAGAAATAAATATAAAATCATTTCCAAAAATATAATTTATAAAAAACGGCCAAGGTAAAATTAATATTAAGTAACAAGAGTAGAATTAGTAACCAAGTCGAATTGCAGGATAGCAAAGAATTTAGATGGGAAGTCAAAATAGATTCGTTGAAAGTAAACAACTTCGGTAAAAATGAATATAACGGGTAAAAAGATTTAACCCAATATCTTATTCTATCAAAAACTGAGGTGGTTTTGATTATAGAGAGAGATGTCTGAATATTTCTATCGCAAGGGCTCTCACTAATTTTGGTAAAAGTGGTTGTTTTAGCGTAATTTTCATACAAATTTTGAGCAGGTTTTTCGAAAGATTTATCTGAAATCCATTTGGCTTTCCTCTCAGCTTTAAATACATTCAAAACTGAATCATAAGTTTGTTTAATGATGTTCGATATGTATTTGTAATAAGGAAAGCATATAATACAGGTCGAAGCCGTGTGGAGATATTTGTAGAATATTCTCATAGGAGACCAGTCAAATTTCCAGGGAGGATTTTTTGATTGGGCCTTTAAGGAGTATATCTTGGTTTTGATCCAAGCTATCGAATTTTTTCTTTTAGTGCTTATTAAATCAAATGCGCTTTTATCTTTGATATTTAATTTTTTCATCATAAACGTTTTAACATTATTATACATAGTTTGAATTTTCTTAACTATTCCAACATCTTTGGATTTCGTTTTTAATATAGTCGATGATAGAGTTTTTCTATCTTGAATTTTATTTGTTAATTTTTTTCGCTCCTCTGAACTAGGTCGAGCTTTATTATAATAATAAGCATAAGCGTTCAAACTTCCCATCAAGCATTGAAATTTGTAAATCGTTAATTTAGATAAATTAAGTATGGGCAAAACTATGTAACTTTTGAATTTCTGTGGTATGCATTTCAAGGAATCAACTTTGCTAAAATATTGTGCGATCCAGTATCGCCTCCATTTCTTCATATCTATCATAATTCCTTTACAATGTTCATCCCTCAATGGCCATTGACCGGGAATCTTAATGCATAAAAGATAATCGGAACCCGGTGTCAATCTGATAGGTGAGCCCGTATAAGGTTTATCTAAGAATGACACAAATTCTTCCCCACGAGGATTGTAGGCTTCAGATGAACGTTTATCTAGTAACCAAGAGAACATGTTGTCATTTGCCTGATAAGCTCTTTCCCGTTGCAAAAAAGTTAGGTAAGAATTGGGGCGTTTTTTGAAGACGAAATAACGCAAATCTCTGGGGTCCAACCTTTTGAGCACACTTTGAGACCAATCTAGGTTGATTTCCACAAATTGAGACTCCTCTTCTGGCACACAACGAATAGCCTCATGATGATCAGAAAATCCGTAAATAGAACCTCCCTCGTTGTTATCTATTTCATTTAACTCTAAGTTTAACCTGGAACAGGCAGAGGAAGGAACGAAATGCTTAAAATAGTTTTGGGCGTTTAATTGTGTGAAGGGGAAACGAGCATGGACCGAATCGACAAAAGTGATGCACAAAATAACGAGGATCAATAAATGGGACGATATATTTATAGTCATATTGTTAATGGATTTTATAATTGAGATATATATTGACTATATTGCTTAATATTCATTGTTAAATAAAACATTATTTAACTATATCCAGTATTGTTTAGTTTTTTTCCCGATATTTTAGTATATTGATAAATGATTGTTGAATATCTTTCAGATTATAATATGTTATTTTGCAAAAAAATAGATTATTATTTTGGCAAATTTATAAATAGTATCAAAAAGGTTTATCGCCTTAAACCTATTGAGTTCATTAGTTGCAGTCCGACTTATAAAATTTTATTTTTATTATAATTTTTCGAACAAT